AAGTGGAAATTTAAAATTTTAATTTCCGCTATAACTTTCATGTTTGTGAACATTTATGTATAAAAATTCATAACTGGATACTATTATATAATTAGAAATTATAATTTGATGCATACTTTAATATAGCTGATAAAGGCCGCCACATATGCCACATATGTGGCATACATTTGCACTTAACTTTTTTGCTCTTTAAGTTACCGGTGTTTGAGATAAAAAATATTAAAGATACGTTATTTTACCAAAAAAAAAGATATACATGTTAATAACTTCAAATCTCAACAGTTTACGAGATAATCGTATTTTACAAATCAACTACATAATTCAGATTTAACGCAATTACTCCAGGAAATAAAAGAAAATTAGACAAAAACATCAATACTTCTGAATTTTTTTTATAAAATACTTTTAATAAAGTTAATAGTTAACTAAATAATAAACAAAATAAATATATGTGCTGGATAATTTGCAATAGGATTTGATAAAATAACAGAATGATTTGATTTTACATCAAACATTTTACGTTTTATATAAATTAAACTCATAACCAAAACATTTTATTACAAACCAAATTAAGAACTTAATAACATTAAACTTTTTATTAAAGTGTTCGATATGTCCACCATTTTTTTTAAATTCATTTTTCAATACATTCCATAAAAGATCGTCTCATATTAAAAAGCATCATTGGTTCTAAAGAAACGGCTACAGTATTTAATATAAGTAATATAAATATATTAATAAGTACTCTTTTGGGATTTTTTATGAATTAAGTAATTATATTAGTTTTTCACGACATGACCAAGGAATATGACTACCACGAATAATCCAATGTTCAGGAAAGTTGTATTTAAGTATATTTTCACTGCTCTCTCTCTATAATATGGTGGTGTATCATCTTGTATAAACCACATATTTCGTTCTTAAGTTTTATGACAATTCTTAATCAATAAATCAATAAAATCATTTTATAAAAATGTAATGACTATGACTTTATTTTAATACAAAACGTAAAATGTTATAATTTTGTTATTTTGCCAAATTCTATTGAAAATTATCCTGCTGAAATATTTATTTTATTTAATATTTCATTAACTATTAACTTTATTAAAGGCATTTTATTCCAAAGTTTAGAAGTATTGATGTTTTTGTCTAATTTTCTTTCGTTGCCTGGAGTAATTGCGTTAAATCTGATTTATGTAGTTGATTTGTAAAATGCGATTATCTTGAAAACTGTTGAGTTTTGACGTTATTAACAAGTATACCTTTTTTTTGTTAAAATAATATATCTTTAATATTTTTTATCATAAAGATTGGTAACTTAAAGAGCAAAAAAGTGAATTGCAAACGTATGCCACATATGTGGATATGTGGCACCCTCTATCAGCTACATTAAAGTATGCATCAAATTATAATTTCTGGTATTCAATAATACCGAGTTATGAATTTTTATACATAAATCTTCACAAACATAGATGGTTATTAAAATTTAAAATTTTTAATTTAACACCCTGTATCTTCCTTAATATCAACATTTTATTAAAGCAATGTGGTTTAAATCGTAATATTTAAAAAATATATATTTCAAATCCTTTATAAAAGGTATATAATAAAATGCCCAAACGGGCTATCACAATTACATTACAGAACGTTTTCGGATTGTTAAATCCATCATCAGTGTTAACCTGAAAGTAAATAACCACTTTAATTAAAAAGGACGTTGAATTTAAAATGTTGACTAAAGTTAAAGCAAAATGTGGTTAATACTTACGAGGTATACATGCTATGAGCCACCAAAATATATGGGTCAAAACCCTTTAACGTAAATTTATAAAACCCTTTAAATTTATATTTAAAGGGTTTTGACCCATATATTTTGGTGGCTCATAGCATGTATACCTCGTAAGTATTAACCACAATTTTCTTTAACCTTAGTCAACATTTTAAATTCAACGTCCTTTCTAATTAAAGTGGTTATTTACTTTCAGGTTAACACTGATGATGGATTTAACAATCCGAAAACGTTCTGTAATGTAATTGTGATAGCCCGTTTGGGCATTTTATTATATACCTTTTATAAAGGATTTAAAATAAATTTTTTGTGATATATGGTATACAGCCAGCTACAGGAACTTAGTTTCCTAGTGGATTTTTGTAATATTTTTAAATGTAGAAACTACAGTTTCTTTTTCTACAATTACTTAAGGATCACCCTATAGATTATATATATATATATATATATATATATTATATATATATATATATATATATATATTGTTGTGATATTTAAAGTCTTGGTGCGCCAAACAATTAATTAGCTAATTAATTAATTGATTAATTAAAATTATTTAAATGATATGATCATGACTCTATCACACTTTTTAATTCTCTTATCTCAGGGTTAAATTCGTACTTCAATATCTATGCTATTACATGTGAAAGGTAAGGTCCAAAGAATACCGGAATAATAAAAAAACACACATGATATAACACTATATATCGAAATAAAAATAATGAAATAATTCACACTCAAATGTTTTCAATAAACAAAATCTCATATAATGATTCTCAAAATTTTGTTCTACGTACGTGAACCTTCAAAATTAATGGTACAAACAATATTAGTTGAAATCTCAAAATCCAAATATTATTCTAAATCTCCTAATCAAAATATTTATATCCTTGCTAAATTAAGTGTATAAATTGTGTTATCAACGAAAGAAAAACTGCAGAAAACAAAACTATCTCTCTCTGATGATGAGTGGTCCAAATCCTTGTTATTTGTAGACTATACTATTTACTCGTGGCCGCTCCCTAGGTAATCAGCAATCTTACAAACAAATTATTGCAAGTATATGGTCCTTAATGATCTCCTTCAAATGCACGAATCGTTCAAATTATGCTAGCTTCTTCTTCTCTCAATAAACTGAATCTCTCGTTGGCCTGAGTGAAAAATGACTCTTGGAATATCTTTTCTTTACGATAAACTGAATCTCTCGTTGGCCTGAACAGTGACTCTTGGAATATAAGTAGAAAATTATGACTTACAATATTTTACTGGATCAGATACACTAACTACACGAAAACTCACAAACTTTCACTGCTACTGCTTCCTACCTCTGGGAAACTACCCGAGAACAACGGCCGTTCGCCTTGCACCCTTGGAAACCAACTGACTCTCTTTTCTCACTCCTCAATCTAGCTAAACTTTCATTCCTACATACCTATCCTACCTTTTTCAATCTCCGCCAATCAAAGCTCGTCACAATTCCCCCATTTTTTCATTTCGATAACAAACAAATTTTTACCTATAATTATAAAATTTCCTAAAACTTATTTACAAATAATATTTTTCTACAATTCTTAAAAACTAACAAAAACCTCTTTCTAAATTCTATTCTATTGACCTTAATCACTACATTAATGTATTTGGAAAAACCCGGTTCAATTGTCTTTGGATTTCACTTAAAATTATGCGGGTCACTCAAGTACAGCATAACAAAGGAAATAATTTATGCATAGCTTACATTTTGTTTAATACAGGTAATCCAAAAATTTAAAAACTTTCCTTCTTCGAAATGTTTGTTGGATATTATCCTACTTATCTGAATTATTTTAATGTTTTTGAACTTTGAAATATTTTAATCAAACCAATATTTTTCTCGATTTTACATATCATAACAATATATTTATATATATATATATATATATATATATATATATATATATATATATATAATATATATATATATATATATATAAATATATATAATATATATATATAAATATATATATATATATATATATATATTATATATATTGTATATTACAGTGTAGTTGTTTAAGACTGTAATTAGTTCGCAATTTGTGAAGAAAAAATATTTTCCATGTATGAGATTACACCCGATTAAATGTCGCTAAAAGAAGCATCTTGAGCTAATTTGATAAGAGGAAGAGACTGCTATACACGTTTTAACTCAAAAAGAAAGTGTTTCACTGATAAATGTAGATGTAAAGGCAAGGGGCTTTTGCGTAATTGGAAGTGTCATGGCAGTTTAATTCTTTGCAATAAATAAGATTATACATAATACATTCCCTTTTTTTGCGTTTTTCATAATATATCAAAATTTTAAAAAAAAATCAATACTCTTCTTATGTTTGTTAAAATAATTTTCCCAAATAAAGAACTTACCCAACTTCTTCACGTGCCATAGAGTTATCCGACGTTGGCGATCATCACTGTGAAGATTTTTCGATCTTCTACCAGATAATTTTAAGACAATTTAATACTATTTTACCTAGTCCAAACATGCTTCCTAAGGAAACTGGAACTAGAGCATGGAAATCTCCAGCAAAAACGGAGTAAATACCAGGGGATCCTTTAAATTTGAGGTAGAAGATGGATCAGTTCTAGAATTCAAGAAGGTGGATGAATATAATAATATTTACTTAGGTACTCTTATTAATCAGACATGTAAGAAAGAAACTAAAATTAACCTAAGACTGACCAAGAGCAACAGATGTACTGGAGCCATGAACCACAATGGTAAACAGAAGTTTACCAATTGTATGCTTACTCTACGATAACAAAAATTGTGAAAAAACGTAGACTAGAATGGCTCGGATATCTACAAATAATGCAAAGTAATAGACTAGTCAAGAATATTGCTTGAAGAATACCTTAGAGCAAAAAAAAGGAGAGAAAGACCAAGAAAGAAATGAAGAGATGTAGTAAGCGACTACTCGAAGTTCTTAAACATACCGCCACTTTTTGGATGAGCGATAAAGATATGGAGGCAACTATATAAAAGCTTTTTGGTAGAACAACAGAGTTTGGTAATATTGTGAGACACATTTTGTATAAGATTTATTAGACTTACCTTGTATAGTTTGGTTATATTTTCTTTTTTTTTAATTTCATTTATTCCATTCCCCACCTTTAACATACAACTGACAATATTTTGTTATAAGTGGTGCATTTAAAAATTTGAAACTATTTTTAGGTGAATGTAGAGTCTTTAGAAACAAGAATATGGCCAAGAACTGCAGCAATGGCGGAGAGACTATGGAGTGATATTCCTGTTTTTGATACAAAAGACGTAGTTACCAGACTTTCTACTCAGAGGGATAGACTTATACAACGCGGCTTTAAAGCAGCAGCAATTTGGCCAGAGTGGTGTACGCAAAATCCAGGAAAATGCTAAAAATATCTGTGATATCGCAACTAGAACATTTCAAAACAAATAAACAGTGATATATCTAACTTTTGTAGAAATGTTATTATTTAGTTTACATTAATATTTTATGTAATATTAATAATTAGGTAATCTTGTTTTAATAAATGATAAAAGCGACATTTTGACATATCTTATCAATAAATCAACATTCAGTAAACAACTTGTTGCGTTAAAGTAAACTTCACAAATGTAAATCTCTTCAATATAATATATTGTGCATTTTAAAAATGAAGAACTGTGTTTACCATATTATATTGTAAATATACTATTTATTTATAGAAGTAGAAAAGTTTTATAAATTTTCAATTTTCAACAATATTGAAAATTATCCAACGAGAAATCTTAAATGTTTATTTTGTAAGTTAATTACATTAGTCCTTTTTTATACACGCAAAAACCCTCTTAGAGCAAATACGTGTTAACAAACAGCTGTCAGAAGAAATTTGAAATTAGATGTGGAGTGAGACAGTGATGCGTATTGTCGCCAATTCTTTTTAATGCTTACATTGAAGAGATCATGAAAAAAGCTCTTGAGGGTAAAACAGCTGAAATAAAGGTAATATGCGAACGACACTGTGATCTTAGCCGAAAACATTGAAGATCTTCAGAGACTGGTGACCAGAATAGCAAAGTATGGAAAAGAGTATGGTCTAACAATGAATGTCAAGACGAAATTTATGAGAATATCAAAAACTCAAAGAAATAACGAGAATCTTCTAATAAACGGAACCAACGTCAAACAAGTGGACAAATATGCATATCTGAAAACAATGATTAACTCCACAAATGATTACAATCAGGAAATCAAAATAAGAATAGAAAAGGCTATAGCAAATTTCAATAAAATGAGAAAAGTGCTATGTACCAGGAATTTAAAACTGGAACTAAGAGTTAGGTTAAGAATGGAATCTTAGACCTTAAATGCGACATCAATAAAAAAACTTGAATCATTCGAGTTGTGGGTGTAAAAAAGAATACTGAAAATATCGTGGACAGAACACGTCACAAACAAAGAGTTTCTGGGAAGCATGAATAAAGAAATGGAAATTTTAAATACAATAAAAACAAGAAAATTAGAATATCTCGAACATATTACACGTAGAGAGAAATACATCTTGCTCCAACTGATTATGCAGGGAAAGATCAAAGCAAAGAGAAGCATAGGGAGGCGTAGAATATCATGGCTGCGCAACCTGAAAGAGTGGTACGGATGTACATCAAATGAACTTTTCAGAGCAGCCATCTCAAAAGTCCGAATAACTATGATGATTGCCGATCTCCGCCACGGAGATGGCACTTTAAGAAGAGAAGTGGTGTGAATATGTCGTAGTGTCTTAGAGAATCAGCTTTTCAACTAATAAATCAGGTGCTGAGCTAAATGGGGCTTCTTAGACTAATACAATTCAATGTCTTCGCCATCTTTTCTATAAAGCTAAAAAAATACAGCTTTACACATCATTTTCAAACGTTTTAGTCCATAAAGCTAACATTTTTAGTTTCTCTTGACTAGCATTACATAACTGACTCTTTTCAATAAAGCTGAAACCGAATCAGTTTTGTATAATTTTGGAAAACATTTTTCTAAAAGAATACAATTTATTAAGATTAAAATTTATTATCCAAAATTACTTAAAATTAAATTACATAAGGAGTTTCGTTATTTTTATTTTAATAAACTTTAAGTTGAAGTAGATCAATTCCTAAATGATTTTTCTATTACGAATTCATTCCGTCAGGATCTAAATAATTCTTAAAATGGAGAAAATAATTCTTTATCTTGTTTTTCTTCTTTCTCTTTATAAGTATTAAGTTATAAGTAATTCTGCTTGTTCATTATCGGATTAATACCTCTATGGAAGGTGGTCACTCCATCTTTTGCGCGGTCGTCCGATACTTCTGCCGATTGGTGACTTATCTCTTGCTATTTTGACGACACAGATCTCCTCCTTCTGCTTATGTGGTTATTCCATTTTTTTTCTATTTTGTGTCCATCCATTTATACACTGTACGTTACATTTTAGGATTTAGAGCAGGTCGTTCATGTACAGATAACATCTTCTGTCTTAAACAAATTATAGAAAAGAAAATTGTGACAAATAGAGAGTTACATATGACTTTTGTAGATCTTGAGAAGGCATATGACACAGACCCGCTAAATAAACTATGGAAATTCCTGGGCACATCAAACATACATCAAACATTGGTTAGTGCTCTCAAAGATCTATATTATGGTTCAAACTCCCAAATGAAATTCGGAAACCTCTTAGCTGAAAAATTTTAAGTTACCAAGGGTCTCAGACAAGGATGTTGTATCTCTCCGACTCTATTTAAGATTTATATCTCTGCAGCTCTGAATCAATGGAAAAGGAAAATCAAAGGAATTGGTATACAATTGAACGATCAGGATTACATGTATACTTTACAGTTTGCAGATGATCAGGTGGTGATCTCAAATGACAAAGACGACATAAAATACATGCTTAGAAAACTTATTGAATAATATCAGAAATGGGGATTAAATATTAATTTAGAGAAGACAACATACCTTTAAATTGGAGCTGAAGCAGAACAACTCGATATCAATGACAATCAAAAAATAAATCCATGTGACGAATATAAATACCTGGGCGTCAACTTCGACCGTAGGGGAAAAGACGAACGAGAAATAGAACATCGAATTGTACAAGCACGAAGAGCTAAAGCATGTTTGAACGGAGTTCTATGGAGTAAAGAAATAGCAAAGAAAAGAAAATGGAACATCTATGACACAATGGTTAAAACTAGCCTACTTTATGGAGCTCAGACATGGAGAATAACCGAGAAATATAAGAAAAAGGTCGAAGCGACGGAAATGGATGCCATCAGAAGATCGATGAGAATATCAAGAGCCGACAGAATATGGAATGAATTGATTAAAACAACAAATGGGTATAGAGGGCACTATAGTTGAGGATATTGAGAGAAAACAGATCATATGGTATGGGCATGTGAGCCGAATGGGGAACGAAAGATTGCCTAAAAAAACGATGATGTGGCAACCCCCAGAGAAGAGGAAACGAGCAAGACCACCACAGAGTTAGGAACCTGGGAGTTAGGAAAGCGATTAGCGCTCGAAATCTGGACGAAGACCTAACTCAAGACAGAATATAGTGGCGTTTGGGAGTCGGACAACATCGTAAGGCATTATAAAACCAAATATATACGTTACATTTTCTTCTAATGTATTTACTTCTCTTTCGATCTCTCAGCGTATTTCCTTTTTTTATTCTTATTACTTTCATCTCTGCCTTTGCGTTGTAGCTGTGTCGGGTTTTGTTTCCAAGGTATGATTACTATGAATACTGATTATTGGTCTTATACTGGCTTTATAAATTTTTGACTTCATATCACTGTGTCTGTTTCGCTATATAGTGTTATTAAGGCATCCTGTCAGTCTATTTGCTTTTTGTACTTGATCTTTTACTTCTTTGTCTAGGTCTCCATAGATAGACAGTGTTATTCCCAGGTATTTTATTTTTATTACTTGTTCAATACTGATGCCATCAATTTCTATTTTACATCTGGTTAGTTCTTTGCTGACTACTATTGTTTAAGTTTTTTGAGATGAGCTTCCCATATTAAATTCTTTTGGTCTTATGTTACATTTGTAGACCAGTCTTTGCAGACTATCTTCATCTTGAGCTATCAATATAGCGTTGTCTGCGTAACAGAGTAGTTTTATTTCTTTGTTTCCCATTCTGTTTCCTTTTTCTTTTTTAAGGCTTTTGATGATTTTATCCATGATCAAATTGAAGAAGATGGAGTTCAATGAATCCTTTTGTCTTATTTCGCTGCTTATTTCTATAGGTTGTGAAATAATAAACATAATAAAAATAAGAGAGTTAAAATATCTGAGACTCGTAATAAGGGGACAGCGATATGAACTGCTAAGGCTAGTAATACAGGGAAAGATAAGATTAGGAAGGAGTATAGGAAGAAGGAGAGTGTTATGGTTGAAGAATTTAAGGGACTGGTTTAAATGCAGTTCTATAGAACTCTTTAGAGCAGCAGTAGATAAAGTAAAGATATTGATGATGATATACAACCTCCGATTGGGAGACGGCACTTAAAGAAGAAGATTTCTATAGGTTCTGTAAGGTGCCCATCTATTCTGACTTCCATTTTGTTCTTTTGGTAGATGTTTTCGATAGTTTTTATAATATTTAGGGGAACAAAAAATTTATTTAAAATCCTTTATAAAAGGTATATAATAAAATGCCCAAACGGGCTATCACAAAGATATTGCCAAACGTTTTCGGATTATTAAATCGATCATCAGTGCAAACCTGAAAGTAAATAACCATTTTAATTAAAAGAACGTTGAATTTAAAATGTTGACTAAGGTTAAAGAACATTGTAGTTAATACTTACGAGGTATACATGCTATGAGCCACCAAAATATATGGGTCCAAACCCTTTAAATGATATAAATTTACATTTGCTTTACATTATATGTGCTTTACATTATATGTAAAGCAAATGTAAATTTATATCAATTAAAGGGTTTGGAACATTTTTTGTAATAATGTTAGCAGCAGCTTTATATAAATAACTAATTTTATTTGGTGAGTTAACAACAACATTATTTATTTCTAGTTCAACTTTGTAAGATATTTTGTATTTTTTAGAAGCTCTTGATAAAAATTGTAATCACAATTGAAAGCTCGAGTAAAAAATAGTCAACAAATAGCCCCTTTTATTGACTACAACCCATCCCAAATAGTTTTATATATGTATATATATATATATATATATATATATATATATATATATATATATATATATATATATGTATATATATGTATATATATATATATACATATATATATATATATATACACATATATATATATATATTATATATATATATATATATATATATATATATTATATATATATATATATATATTTATATATATATATATACCTGTTATCTAATCTTATAATCTATTTTTAGAACATAAACCAATCTTCATATATTGTTCACATTCCAAAATTATTTTTATTTAACTATAAACCACACTTTCAGGTACTTTTACAACTCCCACACAATTGAAAAACTTTTTTCGACAAGAACCTTTTGTGTTTACATTTGATAAAAAGATCTAGTCAAATAAGATTTAAAAATAGACTAGAAATACTAAGAAAACCGTAACATTCCCATTTCAGCTAAAAACCATACAAATTACATTTATTTACAAAATAAATAGCAACAAATCGTTTAACAAAAGAGGCATAGTTCGCAAGAGACT